AAAATTATTTCTAGATAAAACTGCTGTGGATTAGAATAATGACACACATAATATTAAAGTATCCTGAAAATAAGAGTTAAATTGTACAATTTCTTTCTTTTCAGGTGTGGAAGTAAGGTTATTCATAGATTAACAAAGCATTTAATTGGGGCTTGCACTGTTTGTTGGGTCAATGCTGTACTCAAAGACCAATAGTAGAGAGGATTTGCCTCTTTTGGGGGTGTGTGGAGCACTCCCTCTCTCCTCCACCCAACACAGAATTACCATAATGATTATAAAAGGTAAAAGCCTCAGGAGTTTTCCAAGTACATTGGTTTCTATACAGAAGAATAAGCTACTTTTAACAAACAGCAGATGTTACATTGTCATGTCAAGCAGTCCTACAGAACAAGTAGCACTCAAGGCATGTTCATTATTTCCTGATAAAGTTGTGTCATTTCCAGTACCACTGTGTATGCTAACAAATAATTTTAAGGCAGAAATGTTACATCCATTCCAGTCAGTTTACCTTAGACTCTTCCATAGAAGCTGGACAGTTCTGCCTGGCTCTAGTCTCTTTTGAACTGGTTTCTGTAACCGTAAATTCAGTGAGGTGAGCAGAAAGAGGAGGATGGAAAAAAAATAGATCAGTCGTTCACATGTGTTTCATTATTCACACATACAAGGTGTCAGTTGCAGTTGTACCTAGAGAGCCAAACCTCCCAGTGAAAGGAACATTCTTATCTTGAGTACTTTGACTTCAGCTGAATGTCTTTAGAGAACTCTCAGATATAAAAAAAGACCACAAAGATCAAGGTCTTGGCTGCCATCCACTTCACTGTGTTTGTTTCCCCACACTGCTGAGGGCTGGGCAGTCATCTCACCTACACCTCATACAGATAACTACATTGTAGACTTCCAGTTTGGCAGATCTGTTCTGTCTTAGAAAACTGAAGAGTGTTCTGTGTACAGAAAAACATCATTCTGTGTTCTGGTTCTGCAGCACTGTAATGTCTTTTAAACAAGCTTGAGACAACCTAAGCAGCAGAGTGGACATCTACAGGCAATGCGGTAGGCACTTTTGTTGCTCAGCTTAGGGACTACACCTTACCCTAGGGTAAGACACCCTTCATGCTGCAGACCAGAAGATGAAAATAAAGTGAATCACACTTTCCAAAAGGAATCAAAACTACAGGAGTAAGCTAAAGCCCAATACTCAAGTGTCCCGGTTAGATACACAGACCTTTTGCTAGCTGATTTTGGTCTGTAAGGATTTACTCTGATTAGCTGAGGGAATGTTGCAGTGGAGTTTGTTTGGTTTTGTTCTTGTATTTTGTTTTGTTTTCCCCTAGACACTCAAGACACTCATTTAAGAGCACTGGCATTGAGCCCTCAAAATTGATCAAACCTACAAGGGTAACTCAAATCCTTGGTAAGCATGTGGTCCAGTAGATGCTAACTGAAAAAGCTGATGTTTTGCCTACACAAACACAAAAGTAAATTTTCTGACCTGATTCAGAGCCACTGCTATCTGAGGAGCTAGAATCACTGCTAGTACTGCAGCCAGAATCTGAGGAGCTGCTGCTGCCACTCAGTCCCCTTGGTCCAGTACTGGACTCAGCCTTGTTTTCAGCTGCAGGGGGAAAAGACAGAATTTAGAACAACCTGCAGTAGAGCATTCTTCATATATATGACTAGGATCGACGTTGTTAGCTCTGTTCTTCCACGTAACAAGTTCATCTTATTCCACTTCCTTGCCCACTGTCCATTTAGCAATGGACTTGAGAACAAAGGTCTCCCTCTGCAAAGGAGAGGAGAGGGATTTACCAGCAGCAAGCTAGTTGAATGAATGAAATATCCAAGGAGGAGCTCTAGTCACACAATTTACCACCCTAAAGGAGATCAAAATTATGCTGTCTTAAGGCACAATACAAGCCATTTCCCCCCAGAAGTTTTCCTGCTGTTAAGAGCCTGTTGCTCTGCTTGCTGCTGCTGCCAGGCTTGCATGCTGAGATCTTGATCTATAGTCAGCTCTTTCCCAGGCCACATGTACTCCAGAAGTGCCATCTTTTGCCACCTTCCCATCATTGGACTATTTTGCATCTGCAGGATTGATTTAACTCAGTTTATAGTGATTTTTCCAGTCAAAGCTTTTTCAAAGCACACTCTGATGGAAGCTTTGGAAATGAGGAGCTACATGGATACCTGTTTCCCTGCACATAAGTCTTTGTTAAGTGCCAGATTAAGTTCTTGCAAACAAGCCAGATGCCAATTGTAAAGATTCCCTGGCCTGCCTCCTCCCTCTCTCCACAACATATACTTCACAATTGATTCTTTAAACTTTTCTTTCTGGTATGTTTTCAAGCTAACATTATACCAGACGGGAGGACTTGACTGAGCTAATGCTGGATGTAAGGCTGTGTCTATCATTTCAGCTATCAGGTTTTACGTAGGACCTCATTAGATATCCACTGGAGGGCAATAATAGCACTCAGTGGTTTAATGAGGAACAGCTTGACCTATAACAGTAGCATCAGCTACATTCATCCATTCTCAGCCTCTGATGAGAGCAACCAGTAAGTGGCTCGAGTATAGCCTGAATTTCTGGCTTTGATCTCAAAACACATTATTGCCTGAAAAACGGAATTGATTCTCCCAGGGCACTTCCTTAAGTCTGAGAGAACACAGCACACCTGTCACTGATACAGACATTTTGCTAGTGTGCCAGCATTAGTGAGACTGCCATCTAACAAGCATGACTAGAATTGGTTATTCTCGAGTCCCTAAGCCACTGAGAGTGAATTGCAAACAAATGGGCTGTGTGACCCTCCACACTCCCCACCATGTTTTCCTATGTCAGCATAAGGGAGTTTTCAGTATCACTTAAGTTCTGAAGCTGTTCCTGTCTTCACCTGTAAAAAAGTATTAGGGGCAAGAATAAGGACCATTCTTTAGACAGGACAAGTAACTGGCTAAATTTGCTGCTGTGACTCCAGATCACTCAACAGGAAGAATCTTGAGACTAGCAAGGGGAAGGCCTAAGACCCCAACTGCTCTGAGGAGGTAAGTCCTGTTATGCAGCTGGGAACTAAGTCCAAGAGAAGAAACAAGGGGACAATTCCACTTTAAGCTATTCCCATTACAAATGAATAAAAGTAAGAGCTGCTTACACTCAAAGTTCTTCTTTGGGTTTAGTTCACCATTGACATCCAGCTGTTTCTTCTCAAGTTCTTGCTTCCTTTCAGAATTCACTTGTTCTTTTGACATTGTTGCATTTTCAGCTGCATGTGAAACAGAAGTTAACACAGAAGCAAATCAGAAAATAAATCTAGTGGCTTTGGCAGGTTTTCTAAAGCATCATTTATGCTACATACCTCCCATCTCACTTGGTCTCTTCCTCAGACAGGTTGCCACGTATTTCTCTAGTTCTCTGAGTGTTGAAGCATTTAAACTTGCAATGCCTACTTCTAATTGATCAGGGATAGAGCTCCTCAGTGCAGGTTCTCCTGACTGTATTATATGGGCTACTTCCACAAGCTTTTCTCCAGGGAGTTTACTTATGTCTAAAGCCAACTGTCGTTTTTCATCATCATTCATAGGCTTGGCACCATCATCTTCTGGCTTATGTGCCAACAACACCTGCTGCATGGTTTTCTTTGATTGACTGCAGGGGAAAAAAGTATATGCAGTAAGAGCAGTTTCAAATAATTTGACACCCACACAAGTTCCCCACACTTACATGTTTAAAGACAGCTTCTTCTGAGATTCCTTCTTGTGTTGCAGATTCTTCTTTTGAATCAAGCCTTTTATTTTGGCCTTTTCCTTGTTCTTCCTTTGCTTGCTCTTAGCCTTGCCTTTTTTCTTTTCCCATTTAGCTAAGCATGCTTTGGTCAAAAGCCAAAACTGCTGTTCAAAAGCTTTAAGCTATTAAAAGAAAAAAATAAGCTGATACTCCTGGGCAATGAAGGAGGAACAATAAACTGGTCCTAAATATCACAGGAGATTTGTGGCAGCTGAGTGGATATTAATAGGCTGTTTGCTTTCCAAATGAGATTTATTTTCCAAACATCTAACTATATTGTGGCCTAATCACAGAATATGGATCTAGAAGATGTAGGGCTACTCATTTTATGGGGAAATTCCTACCAGCATGTGCTTTCTGGCACCCTGTGAAGAATAAAAAATCAAGAATCACTAGAGTTTCCAGCAGGATCTCTAATTTCAAGCATTTGGGATGCACATAAGTGACTTATTAGGTTATACCTCTACAGCACTGCTGGATTAGGCTGGGGGGACTGGGCTTGTGCATCTTATTTTGCAGGATAAAAAGGCTAGTGAGGACATACTAACAACTTAGGAGAAAAACTTAATGCAGCTTGGTTTATCAGAATGAAGACTGTCAGATGATGAGAATTGGAATTCAGACACATAAATACTCTGTTATTGAAAAGGCTGCCTTGTACACTTTTCTTTGTCCTCATGCCTACATTAGTAAATTGATGGTACACAGGATGATCTGACAAGGACTGAGAACTGTCCCTCATGTGAGTAGCAGAACAAATGCTCATTATCCCCACAGTTGATAGAGAGCAACAGCAGTTAAAGCATTCCATCCAAGCAGAAGCAAGACCCATTCCACCCTTAACCAGTGAAGCAATGCTATCCTTCACACTAGCATGAGACTCCTTCGGGTTTATCCCCTATTGAGCTTTCTGAAATAAATAGAATTTGATGCCTTGCTTTTGTGTGGCTCAAAGGAGACTGAGCGTAAGAACAGAGCTCTTCAACCATATGAAGGAAATGCCCCTGTTAGAAGAATATGGCACTAAGCTACACGTGAAGTGTCTAGAGGCTCTCACCACACCACAGGAACACAGCTGTGTTTTTTTAAAGTTCGAGAGTCATCTGAAGAAGTGTTAGGCAAGAGCAGTAGAGCAATGATTAACTAAAACCACTTTGGATTTGCTGAGGCACTATTCACTTAACATTTGAGGTGCCTTCAAACAGGAGTCAAGTTCTGTGTTAAGAAAAACAAATGACTAGAATCTTTTTTAAACTGATTTTTGGTGCAAAGCCTTAGAATAGACAATTGAAAATGACACCAGAGAGATCATAACAGTCATCCACACTGAGTACTCATGCTTACTTGCTCATGAAGCTTTGCAAGGTGCAGTCTTATCTCCGCTTCAGAGTCTTCAGAGGAATTTTCTTCTGAAGAGTCGTCATCAGTACTTTCACTGGAATAAACTCCTGACACTTCTCTCAAAGGCTGTGGCAGATGAGCACTTGCAAGAGGTTCATCAGGAATTTTGGCAAAGTGCATTTCGAATACATCCTAAAGGGTTAGGTTTGGGAACAGATATTTTTTCAGATTTCGAACAGCATTACGAAGTTACTACTTGTTGTCTAGAATGACACAGCAACGCAGTAGTTTGGTAACATTTGTAGATTCTGCATCAGAGCATGATATGACCTACTCTTTTTCAAGTCTGACTTAAGAGAGAACTCACCTGAAGTTTTCTTGCCATAGTGACTATTTCATGGTCTGGGGAATGATGTTTGTAGCAGTCCATGAACATTGATCTCACATCTGTAGCAAATTCTTGTATATTGTTATATTCCAAGTGATCCATTTTCTCCTAGAGGTAAAGAAAGTAAATGAACATTTAGCAGAGAGCATCACCATGAACTGGCAAGAAAAAGAGAAGGCACAAGAATTTTGACATAGAGATTCAGGTTCAGCTTGTATCAAGACAGTAAATATTGGGAAAACAATTGTGAAAATACCTGCTTCTCATTTCAACACTGTCCCCTGAAAGTAAGAGGGTTTTTCCCCCTCTTTTAAACAGACTTATTAATTGCCATAAGAACTTTGTAGTAGTAGACTCAGCACTAGGTCAAGACAACTGTGTTTGGGTGATTTTATTTGGTCATGTACTCAGCACCTGTTTCTGATTCTAAGCATGATATTTACACAAAGCTTATTCCATAATAACTGGAGTCAAAGTAGTGGGCTAGAAGTTCAGAAACAACCTTCATATTGTGCAAGCCAGTTTTCAAGATAATTCAGTAAACTATTAAAATTTAACCCTATTCACAAAGGTGGGGCTTAACTGGGCTAAATCCTTTAACCCCACACAGATACACCCGGCGTTCAACAGAGCACTGTCCACGTTTCTCTGTCTGGAAGGGTTGCTCGTCACGGAAAAGGTGAAAGGCACCAAACAGATATCCAGCATTGAGCTTTCAGGGCACTTCACCAAGGAGAATGAGATTCAGGGAGAAGCAGAAGTTGACAAAATAGGATTGCATTTCATTTTTCAGGGCATTAGCACTAGCACTGTGTGTACAGACTGAGATACTTGACACACAGTCAGCTTGGAAGTGCTTCATGGAGCTTCTAATTCCCTCATTGCTTGTATTAGCTTGTTCAACAGGTGAGTAGATTAGCCCCTATGTGCACAGTCACCACGAGTCTTAGAAGACTTTCTTCAGAGACCTGTGGCTACGTCTGAGAACCATAAATGAATCTGTTTGCTATGCCCATTCTATCTTTCAAAGGAGAAGTGGCTTTTGTGACACCTTTTCAGCTAACACCTTTAAAACTTTGTCATTACACAAATGGCTCAAACAAATGCACAAATAGTCCAGTTTCCTCAGAAACATACTTACTTTAATGGTTCTTAGGTTTGTAGGACATTTGGCACTGCCTTGGTTCTCACCAGTGGGGAAAGTTGCTGCATCTACAGGTTTTAAGAAAGGCCACGCATATGCTGCATGCTTCTTTGAAAGCATTTCTTCAAGTATCGCATTACAATGTTTTAGTTCTTCTGACAACTGAATCTTTTTAGCAGGTCCAGGTGACCATGGAGAATCTAGCAAAGATCTCTTCAGATTCTTGTTTGATACTATATATTCACTTTCACCTCTGCCTGCTTTAACAGCTTTGCTTTCATTAAACGTCGCAGATGATTCACCACTTGCTGCGTCTATTGAAGGAGTAGGAGTTGTAGCCC